GAAAAAGTGCGAAAGTTTTCTCAAGTGATAAAAAACTTAGAAAGGCTTCCCTCACTTCAAAATAACATTAGTGCTGTAATGGCATCTGGTCCAAATGATTTGTTGCAGCATCTCATCGAAAGAGTGATTAAGAAAAAACAAAATAAAAATATTAAACAAGAGTATGATACACAACTAAAGACATTTGCCCTAACTTTACACTTTTATAGTCCTCGGGCTTACAATTTCATGAGAACTAAATTTGACCTGTGCCTACCACATCCTCGAACACTACGAGGCTGGTACCAAAATGTAGGTTGTAAGCCAGGTATCACTAAGGAAGCCATAGAAACCATAAAGGCTGTAAGTAAAGAAAAAAAAGATTTGGTCATCGCCCTTACGTTCGACGAAATGTCTATCCGTGAACACATTGAATTTGACGGTCGTAATCATCATGGCTATGTAGATGTGGGTAATGGTATTCATGGAGATCAAGTAGACAAGGCTAAAGAGGTATTAGTAATAATGGCAGTGGCAATTAATTCTTTTTGGAAAATTCCAATTGCTTATTTTTTTGGAAGAGGATTTACTGCTTTACAGAAAGCAACACTTCTAAAGCAGTGTATTGCTTCACTGTCAGATTTTGTAAAAGTAGCTTCTGTTACTTTTGATGGCATAGCATCTAATATAAATATGGCACAAATACTAGGAGCTAATTTGAGCACCGCTCCATTTAGACCATACTTTTACTATAGAGGGCAAAAATATTACGTAATATTAGATGCGTGTCATTTATTAAAGTTGATAAGAAATACTTTTGCAGAATACAAAAATTTTTATCATCATAATGATATTATTAAATATGAATTTGTTGAAAATCTCTGCCAGCTTCAACATGATGCCGGTTTGCATTTGGCAAATAAGGTAACTAAAAAACATGTCAATTTTGTAAATCACAAAATGAATGTACGATTAGCGGCGCAACTGTTGAGTAATTCTGTTGCAACCAGCTTAGAGTTTTGCAAAGAAGTATTAAAATTACCTATGTTTGAAAATTGCCAAGCGACAGCAGGTTTTATAAAACATATAAACAGCATATTTGACATTTTCAACTCCAGAAATTTACTCAGCTACGGATTTAAGAAGGCCTTAAATGCAAATAATGTTGAAAATGTTGTAGCTGAATGTGACAAAGTGTGTGAATTTATTAAAAATTTAAAATACAACAACCAAGCTTTGATAGAGAGTCGAAGAAAACTTGGTTTTATCGGTTTTTTGGCGAATACCATAGCTTTGAAGTGGCTATATGTCGATTTCATAGAGTCAGGAAAATTAAAGTTTCTTCCGACCTATAAACTCTCCCAAGATCATATAGAATTTTTTTTTAGTGCAGTACGTTCTAGAGGAGGATTTAACAACAATCCAACAGCCAGACAATTCACAGCAGCATACAAACGATTAATCTGCCACGTGGAAGTACAAATCAGCGATAAAGCCAATTGTTTGCCTTTGGAGAATATTAGTATGCTCAACATACAAAAATCGTGTACTATAGATATAATAAATACTACAACTGGCCTTAGTGCTATGACGATGCCAAACGACGATGCGGCTATTGGCCCAGGCCAAATAGATAATGAAGATTCTGATTTCGTATCATCTATGCCATGGATACCTGAAGGCATGGAATCTGTAGTTAAGTCCATTGTTCAGTACATATGTGGTTACGTGGTAAAAAAAATCGCAAATAAAATTAAATGCGAATCCTGTGTAAATGTACTTTACGGTGAAGTTAAGGAAGGTTCACTAATAAACATGAAAGACGTAGGTGGCCTCGTGTATCCCTCTCAAGACGTTTATGAGATAGGTGTCTTTTCTGAACGAGTTTTCCGAAAACACGTGAAAGGAAAAATTGTAAACGAAAATATGTTTAAAAAATTAGTAAACGAATGCCTTGTGTCCTGCAAACATTTTTTTAACACACTTGACATACATATGTACGATTCGCCAGCATTATCAAACCATAAACACTTAATTATTAAATCAATAATTGAAACTTATTTGGTTATCAGATTAAAGTATGAAGCAAAATTGCAAAATACCTCCAAGGAGAGCTTACGACATTTTTACAATAAGTTAGTTATTTTTGGTGGAAAATAAAAATCACAAACTTTTTGTTTGTAGTTTTATTTTTATGCCCTCAAACATAATATTCATTTTATGACACAGACACAGCTTTCTGTATCGATAATTAAAGTTGATACATGGCGCAGCACTACTGTTGTCGCACACATGCACATTTCACTCACACGGCTACATTTCGTTTTTGGTCTCACCCTAATCACGCCATTGCCAATCTAATGAATACTATATCTATGAGTATATACCTATTTATATTTTATAAAATGTTTTGATGGGGAAATAAAATCGGGGACACGGAGTATATAATGACTGCTTTATTTTGCATATAAGTATTAATATTGATAATTGCAAACATTTAATAATTACTAATTAAACACATTATAGCAGTTTATTTTAATATTCGACATAAATATGAATTTAAACTTAATAATTTAAGTAAGGAAACTTGTGACAATCAGTTAAATAAGATTTCTCTGTTTAAAGGCCTATATGTTTATGAGACTTTATCATGCTTCGTGTTTATATACTTTCATCTGTCCGTGAAAAGTATAAAGTAATAAAAACCTATTATCATTTTAGCTGCATGAATTTTAAAAACATAATGATCTTAACAGAGTAAAGTGCACCAATTGTCTAAGGATACAGATGCTCTGTCTATTCTCTCAATCTTGGTATGTTAAGAAAATTGTCACTCGTTCATGGACTGACCGCGGCAAGTGCAACTTAATATCGCAGATCTATTGATCCGCGCAGCTATTACTTAACCACGAGTTCCTATTATCTACGACTAATGCTGTAGGCGATAGATCAAGCTATTTAAACCCTCAGCACAATGTCTTGGGCCACCAAGTATGAATCGGGCATCGAACGTTGTTGGTATCAAATACTATAGAATTTATACTATCGCGCCTCATGCGCTTCAGGGGCATTACTAAATATCTATACCCAATTTCGCTAAAAGTTTTATCATTGTGACTTGGGATTATAATACGAAGCTCCGCTCAACTCCTTGGGGAAAATAGCCTGATGCTATGAATATTGTACTAGTGTGACCGCGAGGCTGTACGATTGGTAAAGTAAGGTTATACATTTATTTTGGTTGATATATAGATACATAGTTGGCTTCATAATGCCATAAAGAGAATTATCTTAAGACTTTTTTATATAAAATGTACGACAGTTTTATAATGTATAACAATCTATCTAAAGTTTTGAAAGTTAAATTTTTAGTCTTATTATAACAATATTATACTTACTGATACAAATGATGTAGCAATGACTACTTTTAATAAAATTGTCTTTATTCTACTTTTTCTTTTATACTTCTCAAGAAAATGATTGCTGAAAATTGTTGAGTTCTTTGGATTCTGTTTGACAAAAGGCAAAATAAAATTTCTTTTTAGAACTCAAACCGAGGATTTATTTTGTTGTTTGTGGGCAAGTCTATCGATTCATTATAAACATTCAAGGTAAATATCGACATTAATTTTTATATAGTTGAGACAATCCCAAGCGTACATGTAAAATATGTTGTAGAAAAATATATTTAACAAATTCATCAATTATCAACAACGTGACTATTTTCTTTGCAAAATATCAAAATTAATAAAATAATTGAAAACATTCTATTATTTTATTTAAACAGTATACAACATAAATTTTAACCGAAAATAAACGCATAATAACATTGACTATGTCTTGAGAATTTACCTGTGAATTGTGCAATTATCATGATTATCTGTATTATTAACACTACAGACACTTACACCTGCAGCAGGAAAATGATGGTTTTTATAAACCATACTACAAATTAAATTATAAAAGAGTTTTCCCTGAGTCAGTGGGAATGGCTGAATACACGGTTTTTATTGAGAGTCGTAAAGAAGGAATTAAACTTGGCAATACGAATCCCTTAATGTTGGCGGGAATCTTCAAAAACGAAATAAAAGGAGTCACTAATATAAGAAGAATAAACGCTTCTAAAGTAGGGGTGGTGTTTGCGCGGGCGATTAACGCCAACGACTTATTGAAAAATGAAAGTTTCTTAGAGAAGTATGATTACAAGACATTTATACCAGCAAGGGCGGTAGAAATAATCGGGGTACTCAGGTATGTTCCCATTAGCATAAGTGCATGTAGCTGAAGGGCATGTATAGGATTTCATGTAACATTAACGTTTTGTTTAGTGTTCACATGGTATGCACTTGCTGGGCTTACAAGCATATTATCATGACAACTTCTACTCATAGTAAGTTCAAAACTGTACATGATATAAAAAAGAATATAAAGTACCAAATAAGAGAGAAATCTTGTGATATGTAAATTACCTGATCCAAATTATAAGCAATATAATGCAATTAAAGGCAGCAGAATCTTCCATTAAATTCAAATTTTAGGTCTAGATCTATGAGGAAGCAATAGCAAAACCATACACAGCGCAGCAACATACATTGCAGCATGTGACATATTACTGCATGAAATTGTATGAGTTGTGTCAATGAGTAGCACTATGCAAAGGTATACAACCCAAGGCAGTCATGTGTTAACCCTTGATGATGTCACAATTATAGTACTTTTATAGGTCTCTGTTCAGCCCCACTACCATTGTCAGGGTATTCCGGTTAAATAGTTAATAAATTAAACCATTATTAAAACAAGTACATGTGTTAATGCAAATCAATAAAATGAAGATGGAAGCTCCACCAAGTGATCACAATCGCTTGACTTGATCGCGCAAAAACTTGATTAATTTAGGCTCAGAAGGGCTAGAACCCAGAGCCGTAAAGCCAGTTTAAGAAATACATTGTATTTTGATTAAATTAATCAAGTTTTTAGTGGTCCACAAAATAATTAACAACTAAGATAAAATTAACGTAATCATGGCAGGATCAGCGTTGCGGCGGCTCATGGCTGAATATAAACGTATGTTTTTTCTCTATGATACCAACTTAAAAAAACAATTATCGAAAAGATAATAATGTAGGCTATTAAAGTATGTATCCAAGAATATATACTTTTGTAGCCTACACTATTACCTTTCCTGCGAAAACTATGTTTCTAATAACTTCATTACGATTTCCAATTCCATTATACTTAGCAAGTTTCGTCAACGCTTATGACGGCTTTTCTCACCGCTCAATTTCACTGACAGAAGAAAGTGCATCAAAGTGTTATAACAATACATTGCAGCGTATGACATATTACTGCATGAAAGTGTATGGGGACGAGTCAACGAGTAGCACCATGCAAGGGTATACCTAAAGGCAGCTATGTGTTAAACCTTGATGATGTTGCAATTATCTCTGTTCAGCCTTAGCCTGAGCCTGCTTAGTGTACACAAATTACACTAATCAATATCTTAGTGATGTCTAATTTATATTTGCGATTGTGATCACTTGGTGGAGCTTCCATCTTCATTTTATTGATTTGCATTAACACATGTACTTGTTTTAATAATGATTTAATTTATTAACTATTAAACCGGAATACCCTGACAATGGTAGTGGGGCTGAACAGAGACCTATAAAAGTACTATAATTGTGACATCATCAAGGGTTAACACATGATTGCCTTGGGTTGTATACCTTTGCATAGTGCTACTCATTGACACAACCCATACAATTTCATGCAGTAATATGTCACATGCTGCAATGTATGTTGCTGCGCTGTGTATGGTTTTGCTATTGCTTCCTCATAGGTCTAGACCTAAAATTAGAATTTAATGGAAGATTCTGCTGTCTTTAATTGCATTATATTGCTTATAATTTGGACCAGGTAATTTACATATCACAAGATTTCTCTCTTATTTGGTACTTTACATTCTTTTTTTATATCATGTACAGTTTTGAACTTACTATAAGTAGAAGTTGTCATGATAATATGCTTCTAAGCCCAGCAAGTGCATACCATGTGAACACTAAACAAAAAGTTAGTGTCCTATACATGCACTATATGCCTTCTAATCTGAACATGGTCTACCCTATATAATAATGGTTTTCATGTACAGAATATTATTGATTTGTCTTTTGACAGGGTTATTTATCAAAGTGTAATCAAATTTTAAATTTAAGTTCAAATGTATAAATAATTATATACTGTTATTGTAGTTTTTGAAAATATGAGTCAATAAGGCTCTACTTTTATTTGAAATTATCCCAAATTGAATGTGATTTATGGGCCACAACTACTTGTGCACGTGCTCCTCTGTGTGCGATTCAATTTAGAACATTTTTGCCAACCAATTGACCCTTACGAATGTACGTACGTAATACGTAGTGAAGTAGTAGGCTTTATATATTTACTAGGGCGGCACTGAAAATTTCGGGAATCTAGGAAGTGACACAACATTACTATTTAAAAATGTATTTATTGCTTTTCGAAGTATTCTCCGCGAAATTTGAAACATTTTTCCATACGATGGAACCAATCATTGAAGCAACCATTCCATTCGGAATTTGTGGTCTCCAAAATGGCCATTTTGTAGGCGTCCACAGCTTCTTCAGGTGATGAAAATCTCTGTCCATGCAATTTATTCTTTATTTTAGGGAAAGTATAGAAATCATTAGGGCTTAGGTCGGGGCTGTATGGCGGATGGTCTAATTATTCTATGTTTTCTTGCTCTAAAAACTCTTTTGTTCTGTGTGCGGTGTGAGAACTCGCATTGTCGTGATGGAGGATGATGCGGTGGTTGTAGTTCTCTTTACGGAGTTTAGAAACGACCTGTGGCAAACAAATGCTAGCATACCATTCTGCATTAACCGTTTTTTGTCCCTCAAGAGGAATAATCGTAACATGGCCGGTTTTGGAGACAAACGTGGCCACCATTTTTTTTGCAACACTCCGTGAACGAACAATTTTTGTTGGCTTTAACTCATTTTCGAACACCCAAACTCGTGACTGGTTTTTTGTTTCAGATTCGTACGTGTATATCCAGGATTCGTAACCTGATACGATGTTGTATATAGCATTTGAGGATCCTGCGTGGAATCTTTCGAGAGTTCTGTCGCACCAAGTAACGCGAGCCGCTTTTTGCTTTTTTACACCTAATTGTTAATGCAAGATTATTTGTATTTGACTCATGCCAATGTCTAAATTTGCCTGAATTTCGCGGTATGTCACATGTCGATCTTCCTCAATCAGCTTACGCACAGCATCAACGTTTTCTTGGGTGACTGCAGTTTTTGGACGACCTTGATGGGGATCATCACTGAGCTTGACACGTCCACATTGAAATTCAGCTAAACCAGTGATAAATTGTTGTTTTGGATGGGGCTTCATCACCAAATGCAGAAATCATCCGGTCAACACACTGTTTTTGTGTTAAACCACTTCGAAAGTCATAATAAATCATCGCTCTTGAATTTTCTCGAGTCATTTCCATTTTCTCAACAACTAAACAAGTTTGATAAAACCTTGTGGCAAGACCGAGAATCTTTTTTTAAATAAATAAATGGTATTCGATTTTTAAAACCAAGGACTTCAATTAAAAAGATTTTAATATGACAGGAACAGTGGAACTATACTATTCCCGATACTTTTAGTGCAGCCCTCGTATGAATGAAAATCAGTTTAAATAATGCATTACCAAGCATTTTGAATTTAAAAGATAAAAAGGACAAGGTTTGAGATTTTTTTAATTTCTTTTTTTCAACGTTTGCCTATATTACCTATTCTGAAACTTTTCTGCAAATTTGGCCTGTTATTGAAAATAACACTGTATATAATTCTTCTGTCCATGTGTATGTGACTAAATTCCTCCTAAACGGCTGGACCAATTTTAATCAAATTTTGTGTAGTGTAATTAAGTTGAGTGGCAGCCTCGTACCGGCAGCCGAAGTGTAGGGCGTCCCCCCACTAGATGGAGTGACGACCTGGTAAGATATGCAGGAAGTCGATGGATGCAGGTGGCTCAGGACCATGCTTTGTGGCATTCTTTGGGGGAGCCTATATTCAGCAGTGGACTTGTGAAGGGCTGTAATGATGATGATGATGAATTAAGTTGACTCTAGAATGGTTTAGATCCATAATTGGATCTGGTAGGTGGTGCTGTCCTCAAGATTTAGAAATCACATGTGAGAAGCTAGGGCGAATTGCTAGTATATATATATATAATGTGCCTAATTCACGTTTTTCTTACCTGCCTTAAACAAATAATTATTGATAAAATGTTATAATATAATGTAAGTAAATTGGAATATAATGTAGAATAAAATATAATGTAAAATAAAATATAATAATTATTAGTTCCCATCATTACAGTTACGGTTATAGGTTATTTACAAGTACATTTGAATATTGTACATTTACTCAAATATTCAGTATAGATGTCATAATCACGAGTATTAAACTAAAATATCTTTTTTTTATAGGAGAGGGGGCAAACGAGCATGTGGCTCACCTGATGGTACGTGACTACCGCCGCCCATGAACAGCTGCAGCACCAGGGAGGGAATCGCAGATGCGTTGCCGGCCTTTTAAAAAGGAGTACGCTCTTTTCTTGAAGGTCCCTAAGTCGTATCGGTCCGGAAAATCGTTAATGGTAATCGATTCCACAAGGAAGTCGTGCGAGGAAGAAAACATCTTCTAAATCGCACAGTGGTGGACCGCCAATCATCCAGATGGTGTGGATGGTATCGGGAGTTCTGCCGCGATGTGCGTTCGTGAAATTTGGCGGCTGGGATTAATCCGAACAATTCCTCAGAGCACTACCCGTAGTAGATGCGAAAGAAAATGCAAAGGGATGCAACATCTCTTCGCAGTGCCAATGAATCGAGCCGACCGGAAAGGACTCGGTCGTCGAAGATTCGAGCCGCTCTGCGCTGGATGCGGTCAAGTGAAAGGAGCTGGCACTGGGGAGTCCCTGCCCAGAGATGGGAACAGTATTCCATGTGAGACTGAACCTGCGCCTTGTAAAGTTGCAGGTGGTGTGCCGGCATGAAATATTGTCCCGCTTTGCTGAGCACGTCAAGCTTTTTAGAGGCCACTTTGGCCTTCTCTTCCAAGTGACCACGAAACTGCACGTCACTCGATATGTCGACTCCGAGGATTCCCATACTGGCTGAGGCAAGAAGGGGAGTGCCTTAAAACTGAGGAGATACGACAAATGGGTTCTTTTTAGCGGTAAACACGCCAACTTGTGTCTTCTGAGAATTAAACTGGACTAGATTTAGTCGCCCCCAATCCGAGACTTTGTTCAGCAAAGACTCGACTTCAGACACAAGTTTGTTCCGGTACTCGGCGACGTTTTGCCGAGAAATATTGGCACGGCCGGTGTATAGAGCATCACCAGTGCTGTCATCCGCATAGCAATGAATGTTACCAGTTAGCAACATATCATTGATATGCAGAAGAAACAGCGTTGGTGATAGCACACAGCCTTGTGGAACACCAGCGTTAATAGGATTGTAGTCGGAGCATGCACCGTCTACTACGACCTTGATGCTCCGATCTGCAAGGAAGCTGGTGATCAAATCGCACAATTTCTCGGGAAGCCCATAGGAAGGGAGCTTCCAAAGAAGCGCTTTGTGCCAAACCCGATCTAAGGCCTTCGCAATGTCAAAACTAACGGCCAACGCCTCCCCCCTTGGACTCTACTGCCTCTGCCCATCTATGGGTCAGGTAGACCAGAAGATCACCAGCTGATCGACCCCGACGAAAACCGTATTGGCGGTCACTAATCAGCTGGTGATCCTCAAGGTACCGCATGAGCTGGCAGTTAATAATTGATTCCATTATTTTGGAGAACAAGGAGGTGATCGCGATAGGCCTATAGTTGGACGGGTCTGAGCGGTCGCCTTTTTTAGGGATCGTGTGGACAAAAGCTGTCTTCCATGAATTCGGGACTACGCCTTGGGAGTAGGAGTACCGGAAAAGACGCGTTAGGACCGGTGCCAACTCCGGAGCACATGTCCTCAGCACAATTGGTGGGATTCCGTCAGGCCCACTCGACTTCTGGATGTCTAGGGAGAAGAGTGCTTTGCGAACCGAGCGCTGTGAGAACATCACATCCGGCATGGAGCACTCACACCGCGGGATGGTCGGCGGTGTTTTCCCCTCGTCATCAAGAGTCGAGTTGGACGCAAAAAGGGAGCCTAAAAGGTCGGCTTTGTCTTTTGCGTCTTGAGCCAGTGAGTCGTCCTCCCTGTGCAGAGATGGTAGTGATGGCTTACAGAAATTTCCTTGGACAGCCTTGGCAAGAGACCAGAATGCACGGGTTCCCGAAGGAAGGCGAACTAGTTTCTCGCCAATTCTGCCTATGTGCTCTGACTTTGCTTTGGCAATAACTCTTTTGAAGGACCTGGAGGTGAAGTTATACTTCTTTTTAAGTGTGCTGGTGTTTACATCCCGAGTCGCCGAAGCCGCAGCTCAGGCTTGATAACACTCCTGCTTACTGCGTAATGCAGTCTTACAGGAGCGACCAAACCAAGGCTGAGATCTGCCTCCGATGGGTACCACAGATGATGGAATAAATAGTTCCGTTCCCTGTAGCACCACATCAGTGACAGAGTCAGCAACAGCGCTAGGATCATCCGGCAAGAAGCAAACCCGCCCTCTCGGTAGGATGCAAAGAAAGACCGCATTCCGTCCCAATCCGCCGACCTTTAATGCCAAACACGGCGGCAACCTGCAGGACGCAACCGCGAGGGGAGCGTGAGTGGCACCACACTCCAGATCAGACAATGGTCCGAAGAGCCGAGATCGACGGAAACCTGATATCCGTCCGGATAAGAGGTCAGCAGAAGGTCCAACAGGGAAGGTGTATGATCCTCCACATCTGGAATCCGCGTAGGCGAAGTAATCAATTGTGTCAGACCATATGCCAAAGCAAAGTCATAAACAGATCTCCCCGCATGATCGGTTAAACGTGAACCTAGCCATTCGGCGTGGTGGGCGTTAAAATCGCCAAGGATCACGATCTTTGCGGATGGGACCTGTTGTAGCAAAGAATCTGTAGCCATTTGGACGTGGTCAATGAGTCGGTCTGTTTCGGTATTACCGCTATGGGACCTATAGAGGCACCCGTAGACGCGCGGATGGTCGTCGCTGTCTACGCGTAGCCATAGGATGGACAGGTCCGAACCTTCAAGACTGCCGAGGCGTCGAGAACAGATGTCCTCTCTGACATACACGCAAAGTCCAGCCGCCCGAGGCACAAAGGAGTGCTCCAATTTGTACCACGGGTAGGAGAGATACGAAATATCAGCCGGAGAGGAAACCTGCGTCTTGGTCAGAAAGAGCAAGGCCGGCTTCGCCGTCTCGAGATGGTAGTGGACGGCGTTTAGGTTCGAGTGAAGTCCCCTGATGTTGCAGAAATTCACGGATAGCGTGGCAGGGGTCGCCTTGGTCTTGTTGCTCAGTTTGCCCCGAGCAGTTATGTTTTTGAGCGGAATTTTGCCCCCAAGAATACGCGGGGCAGCCTGAGCACTCACGTTTAGGAGTGGAATAAAATGTCGTGGATGCTCAGCTAGGGATTCTCCAGGGGTGCTGGTACTCTCCTGCGGTAATCTAACGTTTAATTCCGCTACCATGTTGATTGGGGGGGGGGGGGGGGGAAATTGGGCCTCCGGCCACCTGCACTCACCAGACGAAACAGAAGCAGCTTCTACTTCACGCCGGTATTCTGTGAGGTCGTGGTACCAACCCGGCTCGAGCCAGCCCATACGTGCAACAGCAAAAACTGCTGCGTGGCTCTACCACCGTTATATCTGATAAATTAGTTGTTTTCATAAAGTTTTATAAAATTTATAAAAAATGTAATGATACATTGATTGCCAATATATGGAAGATTAATGACTTATCTCTATCTTTATATATAAAAATTCCGTGTCACATTGTTTGTCCGCGATGAACTCCTAAACTACCAAACTGATTTTAATGAAATTTTGAAAACTGTGCGCTGTTTGGTCCAAGTTGAGAGATAGGATAGTTTTTATCCCGTTAAGTGACCATCAATATTGCTTTTTTTTTTACGAATTTAAGGTTTTTTATTAGATAAAGAGTCGTCGGACAGAGCAGAACAACGTCTGCCTGGTCAGCTAGTATTATATAAAAATCAATTGATGTCAGTTAGGTTTTGCAAAACTCGAAATTTTATGTGTGTTTGAGTGGGTCTTTTGATGGTTTAAATTCACAATTAGACCTGGTAGGTGGCACTGTTGTCGAGATCCAGAAATTACCTGTGCGAAGCCGGGGCGGATTGCTAGTTTTTAATATATTTTTATATCATATCTATATCTTTTATATTTTATATGTGGAAGAGCCATGCTGCAGATATATTAATTGTATAGTTGTTAATGGGTCGGCTCGACCGGGGTGGGACCACGCACTCACAGAATATCACCATACAATAGCAGCTTAATGCAAGTGTGTTTTGTATGGTGAGTGTAGAGAATCGGAGACCCTTTTTACTTCAAAAGACACTTTCCATCTTAGTCCTCATGGCAGACAATGCATCTGCATTTTGATTTGCAACCAAGGATAGATGTAGATGTCTATGGGCCACAGAAACCACTTACCATCAGGTGGACTGTGTACTCTTGTCACCCCTATAAAAATATTTTTCAAATAATGAGAAGAATTAAAGCAAAACAGTATTTTGCTTCAGGTAGCACCCTTATAATACATTCATAGTGTATATTATTTTAGATGATTTATTTTAGTATACCTTTCAACATTATAGATGTATTTGCTTTATTTTAATAATTCATACTTTTTTTTAAATTGTAGAATTAACACTAAATCCTCCTGAAGGCATCATTGCAGGACCAATCAATGAAGAAAATTTTTTTGAATGGGAGGCTTTAATCACGTGAGTATAATCTTTCTTAACCCTTATCTATGGACGTCATTTTTTTGTCACACTACTATGGATGCGCGATCTCTCGAACCGCTATGTTATGAAGCCACAGTATTACATAAATTTTAATTTTTAGTTCATTTGCTATTGGCTTTATTGCACGTCTGCATATGTGGAAGGACTAAAGATCGTGATTTTTTTTTTAGGAAATCACCTCTTTTTATATTTTTGGTCGAATGCTCACTTTATAGAACATAACCACATTGACACCACATAAGTCAAGAATTCATTGACTCGTCCAATTTTACTCGAACGCTGTTGCAGTGATGACGTTGACGTTTGTTTTCATGTAGATGCACTTTGAGTACTATTTATTGACATTTTGAATGAAAATAACCAAAAAAGTCCGCTTTTCCGTCAAGATTTTTTTATATAGGAAACGTGGACGTGCGGTCCCAGTCTCACAGACCGCGGTCGTAGTTTAAAGTAAAAATAACCCGCCTAATTTGCAGCCGGCGACACTACTTCCCACCTCAACGTACGGTTCGCCATTAAAACTAAAACTACAGACTACAGAGCGCCTTAGACGCGTGGAGCGAGAGGAAATGGGTAAACACTGAAATTACAAACTGCGAGCGGCCTGTGAGACCGTGCGTCCACAGTTAAAGGTTAATATAACAAAATTGACACAAAAACTATAATATAATGTTCTTTGCAATAGAGGGCCATAAAAGTAAGAAGTAATATAACTATAACCTTTATCTTTCTCATTTTCAAAAATGTCTCTGAGAAACATGTTAAGAAATACTTTGATCTCTTAAATCTGTAATGGTGTAACCATAGATTAATGATAAGTCATCGCGCGCTCTGACTAGATAGCGCGCTACCTGAAAGTAACAGCTCCGTGAGTGCGCATCTTAATATTGTAGTGTGTATAAGACAATTTGCATGATGCTAGTGTGCGTGAAAAATTGTATATGCCAGCAGCTTAACTATTATCCGATTAACGGGAAAATTTAATATATGCTATCTATGGCTTAGTAGTTAAGTTCATAGTTATGAATGTATTCCAGAAATACTTAAAAATGAATAGTTTATTAATAACGAATGTATCAATATATTTGTGTATATTATGTATATTAGGTTTTTCTTCTGAATAAATGACATATAAATGATAAGGCCTCCTTTTTATCAGTTAAATTTTTTTATTTACATGCCTAACTAATATTCACAAATTATTTAAACAAATAGTTACGTACGTAGTGTAATCAAAATAGTGCTTTTTATTTCTATTCTATGCGACAATATGAACAACTTTTACTATAGATCTATCTTCCAAATCGCAAGAAAAATCAGGTCTTCCATACATTTTGAGCAAGTTTGTACGAAATTTTGTATGGAATAACTGACTGAGATATTTTTTTTGTTTATGTGCTTTGTTGCTGTGGCCCATAGACATCTACATTTATCCTCGTTTGCGAATCAAAATGCTGATGCTTTGTCACCCGTGAGGACTAAGATGGAATGCCTCTTTTCCAGTAAAAAGGGTCTCCGGTTCTCTACACTCACCATACGAAACACAGCAGTCTTAAGCTGCTATTTTACGCTGGTATTCTTTGAGAGCGTGGTCCTTCCCCGGTCGAGCCGACTCATTCGTGCTACAACTATACTACTAATATAGCTGCAGCATGGCTCTACCACGTATAAAATATGTCTGTCTGTAATATCGAAATAACTACCTTTTATGAACTCAAGGGGTTAATTGCCTGACGTTAAGACATAAATAACCATTTTTAAATTTTTTACCTGTTTGTCTGATTCGGAATGGCTGAACCGTTTGTGATGAAACTTCATGAGCAGTCCATATTTTACCTAAAAAAAACTTGAAGATTTTTTGGAAAAAATAATAAATAAATGGAAACCTAAATGACTACTGACTGACAAATGATCTTATTAATTTAGCGTCTAATTAATGTAATATTAACAACTTAAAAATTAATGATGTTGTTCTTTGTTCACAGTGGCCCAGAAGGAACTTGCTTTGAGGGTGGTATTTTTCCAGCAAAGCTCTTATTTCCCCCTGATTATCCCTTAAGTCCCCCTAAAATGCAATTTATTTGTGAAATGTTTCATCCTAATAGTAAGTAATAATATATATTGAATTTTTAAAAATGACAATAATGTTGTTTCTTACATTACATGACTATTTTTATTTTTTCAGTTTATTCTGATGGAAGGGTTTGCATATCTATTCTACACGCACCTGGAGATGATCCTATGGGCTATGAAAGCAGTGCAGAAAGATGGTCACCCGTTCAAAGTGTAGAAAAAATTCTCCTTTCGGTCGTCAGCATGTTAGCTGGTAAGGTTTTTAATTCATAGGTAAAGTACAAGCAAGAAAACTTCATGAACAGGAACTGATTAGTAAGCTGTAGTGGCAATGGGCCGGCCATATAGCTCGAAGAAGCGACAACCGATGGGAAAGAAAGGTTCTAGACTGGCAGGCTCGTACCGGTAGGCGAAGTATGGAGCGGTCCCCCACAAGATGGATTGACGACCTGGTACGCCGTGCAGGAAGTCGATGGATGTTGGTGGTTCAGGACCGTGCTTTGTGGCATTTATTGGGGGAGGCCTATGTTCAGCAGTGGACTTTTGAAGGGCTGTGATTATGATGATGGAGCAGGAAAACTTATCAATAATATTGCATAATATAATATACAAGATAGAAACTCAAGGACATTCTAAAAAGTTTTGTATTAACTTTTTTTTTGTAAATGTACATACACTATTGATAGCATTAAATGTATTAGTTTGGGCTATAATAGTGAAATATAATGATAATAACAATTTCATCAACATTCACCAGAAATACCGAAAAGCAAGTATAAATGATAGCAATATAATAATATAATGTATAATTTCTTTTCTAAGAAATTAATAATATTACATATTATAATAATTTCAAATTTAGTATTTCTAATAAATTAATGATTTTAAATACAATATGAATAATCTAAATACCTAAATAATATTATCCCATACTATGTAAACAACGTAATAATTCTTAAATTTACGGATTCAATAATTAAGTTTTAAATGCAGTATAATCTAATCTATACATATAATAAAAATGTAAATAGCAGATATCTGTACATTTTATATTTTTGTAAAAAAAAGTGATTGGGGGTACTAAAAATAAGTAATTTAATACATTTCTACCATTTTTAGAATTTTCTGTCTGTCTGTCTGTTTGTTTGTTTGTTAACGTATCACGTATAAAGTACTAATTTATATCATAAGAATTGTTAAGGAAATTATAAAGTGTATTTTCGGGTTACATTTAGTCTTTATTTCATTAAAATCAGTTCATTCCATTAAAAGTTATGATAAATATTCTGAAGTATGGGTAGGTATAGCTTTGGTTGAGTCATCAAGTGCATTTTAAACTAATATCATATCATAAATCATAATTAAATGATATAAAATAATGTTCTATAATGATATAATTATGTATATCTAAAACGTAGTAAAGAAAAGTATTAAAGAACGTATTAAATATATTTATACAAATAAATCTAAAGTATAATAGTTTGTGTACTGTACATTGTATAGTATATTTTTGTGGCTAAAATCATTATGGGGAACTGAAAATAATTAAATAAGTACATTTTTATAATTTTTAGAATTGTTTGTCTGTCTGTTTGTCTGTTTTTTTTATGAACGCATCACGTCTAAAGTAAACTTCTTTTTTTTCCAATGAAATCGTTAAGAAAATCATAAAGAGTATCTTCGAGTTACATTTAATCTTTGTTTTATTAAAATTGGTTAATTCTATCGAAAGTAATGATTATTATTTTGAAAAAAATTTGTGTGAAAAAAAAAACGTTCTATAATAATATATTTATACTTAAAACACAGTAAATAAACAATAAAAAATATGTTTTCCTTAAATTAAAAAAGTTTTCTCACAAAGAACGTAATTGATGGCGTTGTATAAATTACATTCTTTCCTGAATTGCGACCTTAAGATACTCCGAATCGTATTGAGACTCACTGAAGTGTAGTTACAATCTCACAAATAAGAAAGGAGTGTTATTACAATTGTTATTGTTTGAGCGTAGTGATTATATTATACTCTTTGGTTTTCTCATTAAGAATTACTGATTAGAATTTAGAATACTACTAAAACTCTACAGACATTAAGTAAAATAGTCAACCAGTGTTATCGATAGTCGATAGGTGGCGATAATTTTATGATCTTTACTTACTGTCGGTGTCGAAATAAAATTGTTAATCACTGTCATCGATAGATCAATCGATACATCGGTGTACAAATGACGTTCTTTTTTTGATTTGCGGTGTTAAGGCTTTAACTAGCCTGAATGACCTTGACGAAACGGCGATCGCAGAGATTTTAGCCGATGTCAACACCGTCTAGCAACTACGTTCTGTATTACTTATAAAAGTGCAAAGATTAATAGACTGCAGAGATGACAATTATATAAGTGACATACTGCCTGTTATGCTTGCGCATCACTGAGAATTATGTCGCGGTTACGCATCTTCAATTACATTGCACGGTGTGGGGCTGTAGCTTTGTCCGGTCAGCTCGTGAGCTATCAAGTGTTCAAGTTTCAAGTACGTAAAAATTTTTATTATATATGTTAAATCGTATTTATTTGTGTCGTATTAAAAATATGTCGTCAAAGCGTTCGCTGTAAATTTTCCCGGGTTTGACATCCCCGACAGCATGAATGAAATTTGTAATTGCAATTTTCGTCAACACGCATTGGGGAAGCACGGCGGGCATTTCCTTGCCCTAAAACCCTCTCAGAAATAAAAAAGAGTCCTGTGCCCAGTAGAGGGACTTGTATAGCCTATTACTTTACTTTGTAGCAATATTTATATTCGTTTCAGATATAGAAGGGTACTTTATGCTGACAAAAATATCATGTGGAGGCGACGAAAATGTAAAACATCTTTGTACCTAGATAAAACGTTCGAAAGATTGTCAGTCATGTCATACGCCACATTTTCTATAGAGCGTAGAACATTGCAGATAGGGCAAAATAAAAAATAATCCAATATATTATGGGAACTATTTATTAATAATATATACATTTATAGGTATTTATAATAAAAATAATGAACAAGCTGCAAGGTTCAACTAATAATGTTTTTTGTAAACACAATCGTAAAATTCCTGTTTTAATTTTTACCAATGGTTAATTGATGAAACGTAGTCAAGATCACGAGATATAAAATATATTTAATTAAAATTGACACTTGACCTATTTGGCCGAGTTGTAAGTAGAAACTTACAACTCGGCGGAAATTTGAAAAGAAATTTTGTCTTTTCACACAAGTATTGTTTACAACTGGCGTGGTTTCGAAAAGCGTGATTGAGTGTCAGCGGTATATAATCAATTAAATAATGAATTTTATTGAAATTTATTTTTTTGTTTATTTTTGTTATATCTTCTTAAAAACTGACGCCATCTTACTATTTTATTATTTGTTTTTTTTGTACGCATAAGGATAAGTAAGACTAAATTAGATTAACTTGGATAAGTTTATATTTTTTTTAATTTTATCACAAAATTTCCGCAATAAATTATTACCTTTTCTACAGTGATTCTCTCCTCTTAGTTTCGGCGTGACTGTAGGATGTTATAGTGAGTCACCGTCAGTTACTAAGCGGCCATAAATCATTATATGTATGTATAGACATACATATATACATTTTTGATTTTAATATTTATGTTTTTTGAATTTTGATTGATTTTTTGAGACCTGGTAAATTTATTTTTTTCCATACCAATTGATGGGCCTGAGTGTAATGCCAGTTATGCTCTTTGGCTGAAGTTATTTTTTATTTTATGCTCAATTGCAGACAAAACAATATTGTTGACTTTGCCAATACGGATGGCCGCTACCATTGAATATAATACCCGCTATGTTACACTTATTTACATAGAAACTTTAATTATCATTTGCATAAAATTCTAAATAGCACTTTTTACACAAGAAAGTAAACTTTTAGATCAGTCCATTTTGTTTTTCACTAATTAAGTAAAAAGTAAAACAAACCAATAGGGCCGGGAATTAAAATTTCTTGCAATTTTTTATACAAAGCATATCATAATATAAAAGTCAATCATTTAGCCATATGATAAAACTTTTAAGTGTGCCAGTCAAACATTAATGATGATATGTCATTATACTGGAAATAGTCTTTTAAATATTTTGTAGTACAATTGATAATCTTCAGTATGATTGACCGTGTATATGACTTTTATAAGTCTATGTTATTTTTGATGAAAATTATTAATGCAGTTAAAAGCCCTTTCACATTTATTTTAGTCTCGAATTAAATTAATCAAAATGAAAATAATAACATTGGCTCTTTATAACTGATCTTTAAATGTAAAACACTGACTTGAAATTATATAATTATTAGCAGTTTTTTAATTCATTGAACTTTTTTAAGATTTTGTTGAAACTCTACTGGTAAAAAAAACAAATATAATATATAAAAAATATATATTATAGTTCTTGATGAAAATAAAATATGCGCGTTACATCGCATTCCATCAAGAATTTCTAATGTAATTCTTGGTGTAAAGCTAAGACGTGATAATAACTCTAAACAATAGAATAACAAAATAATGAAAACATTTACATATACATACAAAACATTTACAAAAATACTTGCTTTATAACCTAATAAATATTATTTGACCGTAATAAAATAAAACAAGGTAGTCTTGGGCATGAAAGTAAAAATAAATATTTTCGATTATTTTTGCAATATCTAACAGCCGGATCAGCGGGCGATTCTGATCCATCTATAGATGCTAAATTTCAGCAAGCACAGTCAAATTCAATAGGAGTGACAGAAAAACGGTTCTTGATATAGAAAGGTAAAAAAATTATTTAACCTATAAAGTAAAATCACTTTATTACAAATCAAAATAGCCCAATAGCTTTATTAACATGAGACATAATTATACGAGTGCTTACAATACTTAACATTATTTTACTGAAATCTCAGAAAGTTTTTTTTAAATAGAATAAGGGTGACAAACGAGCACACAGTCCACCTGATGGTAAGTGGTTGCTACGGCACATACACATCTACATCTATTCTCGATTACGTATCAAAATGTAGATGTGTTGTCACCCGTGAGGACTAAGATATAATGCCTCGTTTCCAGTAAAAAGGTTCTCCGGTTCTCTACACTCACCATACGAAACACAGCAGGGTTAAACTGCTATTTTACATGTTATTCCGTGAGAGCGTGGCCCTTCCCCGGTCGAGCCGACCCATTCGTGCTACAACTATACCTAATAAATATAGCT